CTGTTCATTTCAAAATAATGTATTACACTACAATATTACTGTCTGTGAAGTGTAATGCATGACACTACTACTGCATTACTCGGTCCTGGCTCCTGGCTTTATTTACTGAACATGATGGAAGTGCATCATTCTTGCCGCTGTTTAAAGCACGCTGCGTCCCCGCTCATCGCGCACATATTCTCCGCCCATTGTGTAGAGTCTGCCTCTGTCTCAATCAGGATTCTTTAAAGATCAAACCAGAGCTTAGACTCTCACCTGTCCACGGGCTGCATGTCTCTGTTCATACTTCTACTGTGAGCCAGTTTTTCATTCTCTTCTTTTCTTCAGTGTTTATTGGCTGCACTTGACGTCTTGGACTGCCTTTTCATAATAACGTCGACCAAAATCATGTTTGCCTACAGTACAGACCAAAAGTTTGGACACATTCAAAGAGTTTTCTTTATTTTCATGATTATGAAAATTGTAGATTCACACTGAAGCCATCAAAACTATGAATTAACTTGTGTGGAATTATGTACTTACTTAAAAGTAGCACCTTTTGCTCTGATAGTGCTTCACACACTCTTGGCATTCTCTTGATAAGCTTCAAGAGGACCTGAAATGGTCTTCAACAATCTTGAAGGAGTTCCCAGAGATGCTTAGCACTTGTTGGCCCTTTCTCCTTCACTCTGTGGTCCTGCTCACCACAAAACCATCTGGATTGGGTTCAGGTGACTGTGGAGGCCAGGTCATCTGTCCCAGCACCCATCACTCTCCTTATTGGTCAAACAGCCCTTACACAGCCTGGTGTGGATCTGCAGTCAATAGTCATGAAAAGAAAGGAAGTGTGTCCAAACTTTTGGTCTGTACTGTATGTATCAACGAACACTCTCTCTGGAAGACAGACTCGTCGACAGCAGCAGGGTTCAATGATGACGATTTTTATTGAGTTTATAGTATACATCATTTTTTGTTGTTCAATCTTACGTTATGGGAAACACAACGCAAAATATTAAAAAAAGGAAACTTTTTAATATTTTTTTAAGGCTGCAATTTTGCACCCCATCCTGCAGATGGCGCCCCAGGCGACCGATGCTCTGGGCCGGGCCTGTATGACCCAAGGAGGCAAAAGTTGACTGTATGGACTGCAAATGAATGTCCTCTGAGAGGAACAGCACCGAGGGATTGTCATCCGTGCTCAAATGTTTAGGGTTCGTGTTCATAATTCAGATTCAGATTATTATATAATATTACATGATTATTACAGAAACCTAACCTTCAGACCTCTCCCTTCACCCATGACTTTTGGTTGTCCAATGTGGCATCACCACTGTGACCCCAAAGAGGCAAATCGTGACTCTTACGGAACTAAGATGTGTCTTGACTTGTGCTCCACAGAAGGCACACACACACACAGCCGAGGAAGAGGAGGAGGAAGAGGAAGGCTCTTCTGCCTCGTGGTGGAACAACATTTGACTAGTGAGTTTTTTTATCACCACCGTAGGCCAGAGTTAGGAGCCGTGGGTGAGGGGCCGTGGGTGAGGGGCCGTGGATGAGGGGCCTTGGGTGAGGGGCCGTGGGTGAGGGGCCGTGGGTGAGGGGCCGTGGGTGAGGGGCCGTGGGTGAGGGGCCTTGGGTGAGGGGCCGTGGGTGAGGGGCCGTGGGTGAGGGGCCGTGGGTGAGGGGCCGTGGGTGAGGGGCCGTGGGTGAGGGACCGTTTTTCATGGGTCTGAGTAAAATTACAAACCCCCTCAGCGGCATGTGGAGCACTCTGGGCAAGAGATCTCTGCTGAGAAGTATTTTATATTTTGATAGACCTGCTGTTCACACCTGCTGTTCACACCTGCATGTCCTCGCTCCAGTGCAGCGTCGGGCGCACTCACACACTCACACACGCACGCACACACATACACACTGTTTCGGTGCTTGCATTGCTAAGTCGGCCGTGGTCTCGTCGCTGACATGGTTCTTTCGTCCTGTGGCATAATGGTATAGCAACTCAAAAGGTTGAACCACAAAGAGTCTTCTTCTTCTAATAGATTACGGCAAAATGTGCCAAAATGACTGAGGCGGAGTCAATATTTGTTGTATTTTTTTCCCATCAAATAAAGTTTTTGCCATTGCCTCCACACACTCTGGTCACAACTAGGCGTTTTATGCCCAAATTCCTCTGCACTCAGTGGGCACTAAAGCTGGGCCTGCCCTGTTTGCTGATGCTTTTATAATATGTGTTGATGTGTATATTCAGACTAAACATGGGCAGCGCTCACACACCTGTCTCC